CCAGCACTATGGGATGTTGCGAGATGATTTCACCAAAGCATCCTAAGTTAGGTGGTTAAATTCTATACCGCCTAGGGACATACAACTTACTACGCATGTTTGGCGCAGAAAAGGCAGAAGCAAGCTACTAGCGATAATACTGGTTGTAATATCAGATTCACAGATGTGGAAAAATAACTCAGCTGCGTTAGGAATGGTAAAATACCATACAAAGGAATAGCTGCATATGTTTTCAAGCAGTAGAATGCCGATGATCATGGTATTGTCGGAACGAGTATCCAGCAAACTTCTTAACGGCGCACCTTTTCCTTCAAGTGAAAAAATACTGAGTATAAAGAAATAAAAATCTAACTAGCAGTAGATTTTGGCGCGAAACGCCTATTACCCGTGCTGGTACTCATTGATGAAGCTACCTGGTGGCTAGAGGGCATACTAATGAATAATTACTTAACTTTAAAGTAAGTTAATCGCGCTAATCATTATATTGATTACTGTAGTATCTGACGATCATATGTGGTATTTTGAAAATTTATGAATGGTAATTTTTCTTCAGATAGGAAGCGCGAAAGAGAAAAGGAAAAATTCTAAGTTTCTATAGATTCATAATCGTGTTAGAATGTTTTCCTGTTGTACGGTGGGAGCTTTTTTGAGAAATTTGTAATATTCGCGTGTAAATGCAAAACTTCAACGGATATGGAAGAAAGTCGGCCAATATTTACCAACAAACTTCCTGCAATTACATTCATTTTTATTTTAAATTAAGACGTGAATGCATTGTTATCAACCCCACTCATCTAAACTAAGTCAGGAATTGATATTCTATGGTGTTAATACGTATATTAAAAGAGTAGTAGCGCAATGACCAGTCAAAATCAAACATAATTTAGTGCTCAAAATATTTTCGTAAGCCGATGAATTTCTTACCGGATTTATGCGAATGTCTCGCCATGGCAACTTGCCGAGGGCCAATTGAATGATGGTGAAAAACCAAGACCAAACATCGTCCCTTCTCGACTGCTCTTCACCTTTCAAAGCGTGGTAGCTGGCGTAGAAAAGAGTACCTCGGAAGCCGACGTCTCTTCGAGGACGTTTCTGAGAACCGTCTTTTCTGAGGAATTGTCGACTCATGCCAAAATCAAGGAGGTACACTTTTCTAAAATCTGGATCTCGACCGATCGCATAATTTTGTGGTTTAATATCCCGGTGCAGATAACTGAAATATTCTCAGTATGGAAAGACCCTAAACGGTTTAATGGTGATCAAGTATACCCGATGCGATGGAGGTCTTCCAATGCTTGAAGGCACATAATGCCTAGGTGAACGATACTGCGTATCGTGAAACGAGGAGGTCCCGAGTCGAAGTGAACGCCGCCAATGGACTC